GTTTATTTTGAGGATCGAACCCAGGGCCTCACACTTGCTAGGCGAGAGCTCTACCATTGAGCCACAACTCCAGGCCCCTCTTCACCCCCCCTTTTTTTTTTGCTTTCTATCAAGGTAGAGTCTTGCTAAGTTGCTGAGGCTAGCCTTAAACCTTTGGTTTCCCTGCCTTACTCTCCCATGTAGCTGGGATTATAAGCGTGTACCACTGTGCCCAGCTCTTCTATTTTTAATTGTTTGTATTTCCAGATTCCTTTAAGTTTCACAGATTCTAATGCCTAGAAGATTCCTAGGGTTTAATCTTAAATGGCAAAAACCATCTTTAGTTCTTTCAGTTGAAAGAAAGGTTTTTAGATCAAGGATTTTTTTTTTTTCTTTTTACACAGTCTACTAGACATGTTAACAGCCTTTAGCACCGTAGCACATTGAATTCCAAGGACAATATCATTATAATTCAGATTGAAAAGTTGTTTCGTTCTGTCTCTTTTAGAAACAAAAGAAGAAAAAAAAGCCAGAGGTGTTTAACTTTTCAGCCATTCACTTGATTCATGATCCCCAAGGTACTGTAGTTATAATTTCCTAAGTTCCTTATTGGCTTTATCTCTGCCTGTTTTGTTTCCTGCTTTCAGGATTGTCAGGAAATATATGATCCTTGGCACTTAATAGACATAAGTGCTTAATTTTTTCTACTTGGTTGTAGCCTAGAGAATTGTATTGTTAAGGAATGATTTCCAGTCTGGCAAGATAACAAAACTGGATGGACAAGTTTTTCAGAGATTCATATTTTTAACAACACAAAAGTAGTAGAATATTGTACTTAAATGAAAACTGATTGTCTGTTTCCTTTTTTTCTAAATTGATCTTCAGAAACCAAAAGTCTGGGAAACTGTATTCTAAAACACTAGTTCTCAAACTAGGTCACACATTATAATCACCTGGAGAATTTATTATAGATGTATTCTGATGCCCAGAGATTGTGACTTAGTTTGTATGGAGTGTGGCTCTCTGTACTCTACTGTATAGCAATGTTTGCTAACCCCTGTTCTAGGTCAGTACTTTTCAAATTTTATGTGCATACAAATCACCTGGAGAATTGGTTGAAGTGCAGATTCTGATTCAGCAGGATACAAGTAGGACCCGAGATTCTACATTTCTAAGAAGGTTCCAGTTCTGACTGCTGTTGGTCTGTAGACTATATTTTGATAAACAAAGCTCTAAAGAACTATTAAGTGAAGCCCCTATTAAACAGTTACTCTAGATACGGATGCTTAAAACTTTGAGGCTCTTAAAGATGTGGCTTTGGGCACCATAAAGTATATTCATCTGTGTTTGATCTTTTCACTGATCTAATTATGTACAGACCATAGACCCACACTGTACTTCTTTGATCCTCTCCTTTCCAGATTTTGCAGAAAAATTACTAAAGCAGCTGGAGAGCTCTAAGGAAAGGTTTGAAGTGAAGATGATGCTCATGAATCTCATCTCCAGATTGGTGGGAATTCACGAGGTTTGAAATACCTTATGTTTCTCTTCTAAAATCT